ACTCAACTACATTCATATTATTTCAACGTTAACAACGTCATCTATGGATTATATATACATTTGTTTTGATAACAATCAGTCTAGCCGATTGTGTATTTTTTATAGTAATTATTAATTTCATCTGAGTTAGGTAAAAAATGGGATGATGATCAAAATGTACCTATTCAAATCTGGTATTTTTGTAGATTCTTAATATTTCTATAATCCAATACGGCAATACCGACCAGTACTATACTATACTATTGTTTCGTTTTGATATTTACTTCATAGCTTATCGCTTATGTAAATATTATTATTTTATAAACCATTAAAAAAAAACTGATTACCTGGTACTCCCATGAGTACTATGAGTCAACGTTCAARTGGTGAAAGTTATACTTCTGTTGGTTCTTCTCGTTTGTTATTAGCTGCTTATGAAAAAACTACACCAGTATAAATTTTAAGTTTATTTAGTGGMATTAATATTGGTTGTAATTAATTTAACATTATTTGACTATTTTTCACTTTATTATATATATCCTCCAGCCTAATTAACTGTACACACTTATTAGATAAGTAAACTATATAAGAAAAATATTTTAAAGTATATTAAAAATAAAAATAAAAATAAAACATTATTTATGTAAAATAATGAAAATAATATGTAATATTTAAAATTAAGATTGACTTACATTGACTGCGTAGTGATGATCACTCGCATATTTGACACACGGTAGATGGCAAAACCTTTTTTGATCTGGGAAAATCTTTGCCAATTTGTACATTGTGGGATATCCTTGGAAAACGCCAATATAAGAAGATAATATATATCTATGCGAAGTTTCTGCAGTCCTGTTCTGCCTCTAAAATGATATCAGGAACATATAATTAGGTTACCTTCTACCTAGTACCTATATGGACTATGGCAATATATATCATTTTTTACCATCATTGTTAGGTTTGACAGGTTTTATTCAAATAATATTAATTCAACCAACGGTTCATTGAGGGTAAAATAATGAATGAATTAATATTTAATTCAAATGGTATAAAAGTATAAAATCATTTTAAACCTACAAAAAACAATTCTGAGCAAAGACCATCTATTAGTCCATATTAATTACTAATATATAAGTAGGTATAATGTATATAATATTATGAATTATGATATTATCGCTATTAAAGTAGGTAATTATTTTAATATGAGATATTTATAATACCCACATGCAAAATAATTACAATACCTAGTAATACAGCAGTAGTTGGTAAGTTGAGGTTGAATTAATTTTTTCCGAAAAAATTGTGTTATAAAATATAATTTTATACTTTAAAGGTTTCAAGTAGGTACTCGTGAAGGTAATCGGTCAAAATATCCAACGGTCAAAATATCCAAATTTTACGTAAATTAATATATTACACTTTACTTTAATTACTTTCTAATAAAATTAACTCCTAAATATATAAATTACGTTAGTAGTATAATAATATCACAAAATATACTGCACAAACATTAGTCAAATAATATAAAAAGCGGGTATA